AGGGAGGAGGGAGGAGGAGGAGGAGGAGGAGGAGGAGGAGGAGGAGGAGGAGGGAAGGAGGGAGGAGGAGGAGGAGGAGGAGGAGGAGAGGGAGGAGGAGGAGGAGGAGGGAGGGAGGAGGAGGGAGGAGGAGGAGGGAGGAGGAGGAGGGAGGAGAGGAGGGATGAGGAGGGAGGGAGGGAGGGAGGGAGGGAGGGAGGGAGGGAGGGAGGAGGGGAGGGAGGGGAGGGAGGAGGAGGGGAGGGAGGTGGAGGAGGGAGGGAGGGAGGAGGGAGGAGGGGGAGGGAGGGAGGGAGGAGGGAAGGAGGGAGGGAGGAGGAGGGAGGAGGAGGAGGAGGAAGGAGGAGGAGGAGAGAAGAAGGGAGGGAAGGAGGGGAAGGAGGTGAGGAGAGGGGGAAGGAGGGAGGAAGGAGGGAGGCGAAGGAGGGAGGAAGGAGGGAGGAGGAGGGAGGAGGAGGAGGGAGGAGGGGAGGAGGTGAGGAGGAGGAGGAGGAGGAGGGGAGGAGGAGGGAGGAGGGAGGAGGAGGAGGGAGGAGGAGGGAGGAGGAGGAGGGAGGGAGGGGGAGGAGGAGGGAGGAGGGAGGAGGAGGAGGGAGGAGGAGGAGGAGGAGGAGGAGGAGGGAGGAGGAGGAGGTGGTGGGAGGAGGAGAGAGGAGGAGGAGGAGGAGGAGGAGAGAGGAGAGGAGGAGAGGAGGGGTAGGAGGAGGAGTAGGAGGGGAGAGGAAGGATGAGGCGAGAGGACGGGGGAGGAGGAGGAGGAGGTGAGGAGCGAGGAGGAGGACGGGAGGGAGGAGCGAGATGGGAGGATAGAGGTGGGAGGAGGAGGAGGAGGAGGAGAGGAGGATGAGGACTTACTGAGTGACTTGACTGACTTACTGACTTGACTGACTGACTGACTGAATGACTTGACTGACTGACTGAATGACTTGACTGACTTACTGAATGACTTGACTGACTTACTGAATGACTTGACTGACTTACTGAATGACTTGACTGACTTACTGAATGACTTGACTGACTTACTGAGTGACCTGACTGTAATAATAATATTTTATTATATTATTATCACTGAGAAGAAAAAGAGAATGATTTCCATGGAATTAAAGTATGAGATCATAAACAAGCGAGGTGTCCAGGTTTTGGGTTGAGGGGGAAGAGGGAGGAGGGAGCTGGCTCGTAACTTAAATGTTGGCTCGTAACTCAGAGCAAAACATCGACCCAGGGACGGTTTGTATCTCAAAAAACTCTTAAGTTGGGACACTCGTAAGTCAAGGTTCCACTGTATCTTCATTTACTACATGTACATGTACATGGTATACAGGCCTAGCTGACATCAGTGACATACTACTATACAGAAAGCCCCTTTTTATGCTAAGCATTTCAGGCAAATTAGGTCAGTGTCCCAGGATAACACCCACACCAGTCCACTAACACCCAGGTACCCATTTACTGATGGGTGAACATAGACAACAAGTGTAAAGAAACACACCCAATGTTTCTACCCTGGCTGGGAATCGAATATTTACCAAAAATCATATATGGCAAACCCAAGCCAGGTACTAGAAATAAGCCACTTTGTCTGACTTTTTTGGGTTATCCTAGGTTCTCTACACATATGCTGCTATGTGTGATAATCTATGTAGAGAAAATAGCTTTTTTGTTTCAGTTTTATGGTGCAGTACGAGTGTATATCACAGTCAGCCCTGTGCTATACTCCGTTTTCTAATATAAGCCCCCAAGACAGGGATAGGAGAATGGTATTTGTATCTCACATCCTCTTCATACCTCCGTCTAACTGCTCGGTACACTATTATGCCAAATATTATTCGTTCTGGAGTATTTAACATGTTTTTATGTTATTTATATTGTTTATTATGTCATATAAGATCAATTGTGATAGGCAAATAAGCCATAGTGTTGATATTAGCATAATAATACAGCATATTTCCCTGGATCATAAGACTAAGCTCATAGCAACTGACAGTGGCTTCAAAGCCACCTTATCTTTAATGGACAATGTACCATGTAGGTGCTATACACAACAAGAAGCATTTCTTTTATTCATTGGAACCATGGCTAGGGCTAAAAGTAAGCAGGTTATAACAATAATTGGAGAAAAAGAAAATGGAATGACTTATGCAGCAAGTAGCGCCACCAAACAGTACCAGCAGGTTGGTGTGGCCACCCTGGAAATTTGAAATTATGCTAGCCAAAATTAGTGTCGAATAACTGATGGAACCGGATGACTGACTGCCGGATTTGTGATGGCGGACCTGTACAGTTGTTTAGACTTACATATTAGATTAGTAAGTATTGACATGCATCATTTTGTCTGTTCTTTTGCTTTTAGGCCTGGTCCAAACTGCTTTTCATATTGATGTTTTTAATCAATGGATCTGAGGATACTATTTATAAACAAATGGCTGCTTAGTCTCTTTGCTGTTATCTGCTTAGTTTTAATTGGACAATGACTGTAAGAGAGGTTTTGGGTTTTGTGAAAAAATTTTTGACACATTCATCAATATGAAGTTAACCCCCAAAACCCTCTCCAGGTATACTCCAGGTACATCATGGCTGTCAGCTAGCTCTCTCCACCAGTCAATGTCACTTAATGCTGAAATAAAGTTATTTGCTGATGACTCTTGTGTCTCGAGGCAATTTACATAGTTGGCTATGAGGAAAGTTGGGTAGTGGCTTGTGGTGCTGTCAGTGATTATCCCTGCTTTTAGTGGGGATATAGTATTGGTCCAGATATGGTCAAGTAATGAGGCACTTGTCTCAGAGATTTTTGTTGGCTTATTTATATAGTTGTAGCAAGCAGTTGTCCAAAGTGTTTATGAAGTTGGCTACTTGAGGGTCTGCTGTTTGGATAAGATTTATGTTGAAGTTGCCTGTAAGTATCAGGTGGTGTTCATTCATCTCTGAGTCAGTTATAATGATTTTTAGGTTATCATTAAATGTGTAAGGATTTATGTGAGGTAATCTGTAGACTGTTCCAACTGTTATAGTGTTTTTTAGATTTTTGGATGAAAATTTTGCAAATATATATTCACCATTTTCATCCCTGGTGCAAGTAGATTTAATACATTCTAGTTCATCAGAGTAGTAAATAGCAGTGCCACCTCCTAACTGATCAGGTCTGCAGGTGTGTGTGGCTGTGCAATCAAGAAGGCAAAGATGTCTGTTAAGTCATATCTGAGCCATTTAGAGAATTAAGCAGTGCAAGGAGGTCTTCATAGTGTTTACTCAATGATCTAACATTATATTTGAATACTGCTATGGTCTTGGTGGCACTGAGTAGTTTTGACCTGACGAGCAGTGTAATAATGTCAATTATTTTCAGGATTGTTAATGCCATTTAACAAAAGATTAATATTTGGATTGATTTTTGCATTCATAAGACTATTGGAGAATTTAAGTATGTATTAATAAGAGGTAAACACAAAATGTAGGTAGTAGGCTGGTAGACAGCAACCACCCAGGGAGGTACTACCGTCCTGCCAAGTGAGTGTAAAACGAAAGCCTGCAATTGTTTTACATGATGGAAGGATTGCTGGTGTCCTTTTTTCTGTCTCATGAACATGCAAGATTTCAGGTATGTCTTGCTACTTCTACTTGCACTTAGGTCACACTACACATACATGTACAAGCATATATATACACACCCCTCTGGGTATTCTTCTATTTTCTTTCTAGTTCTTGTTCTTGTTTATTTCCTCTTATCTCCATGGGGAAGTGGAACAGAATTCTTCCTCCGTAAGCTATGCGTGTTGTAAAAGGCGACTAAAATGCCAGGAGCAAGGGGCTAGTAACCCCTTCTCCTGTATAAATTACTTAATTTAAAAGAGAAACTTTCGTTTTTCTTTTTGGGCCACCCTGCCTTGGTGGGATATGGCTGGTGTGTTGAAAGAAAGAAGAAGAAACACAAAATGTAGGTAGTAGGTTGGTAGACAGCAACCGCCCAGGGAGGTACTACCATCCTGCCAAGTGGGTGTAAAACGAAAGCCTGTAATTGTTTTACATGATGGAAGGATTGCTGGTGTCCTTTTTTCTGTCTCATGAACATGCAAGATTTCAGGTACGTCTTGCTACTTCTACTTACACTTAGGTCATACTACACATACATGTACAAGCATATATATATACACACCTTGGAGCTTGGACTCGACCCCTGCAACCTCAACTAGGCGAGTACACCCCTCTGGGTTTTCTTCTATGTTCTTTCTAGTTCTTATTCTTGCTTATTTCCTCTTATCTCCATGGGGAAGTGGAATAGAATTCTTCCTCCGTAAGCCATGCATTTTGTAAGAGGCGGCTAAAATGCCGGGAGCAAGGGGCTAGTAACCTCTTCTCCTGTATATATTACTAAATGTAAAAGGAGAAACTTTTGTTTTTCCTTTTGGGCCACCCCGCCTCGGTGAGATAAGGCCGGTGTGTTGAAAGAAACAGAGAATATAGCTGTTGTAAATATTTAAACAAAAAGCAATTATTTTAACTGCTAACAAGGGTAATTATATGGATTAAGACTATTTAAAGCAAAAAATTTGAGTATAATACACTATTTAAACTAAAATTATATATAACTTAGCACCTGACTTAGCACCCTAATGGTAGGATGCCTACCAATATTGTCTGCCAAGTCACACAAACACTGCAAGCATCTCTTCCCCTCTACCCTCCCCATCATGACAAGGTTACTACCTCAAGAGTTAAACAAGATACACAGGCACTTTCTCTTGGCATTAGTTGCTGTCTACAACACACATGGCTTAAAAAAAAAATTAAGGGGGTGGACCAGTAAGCCAGAGGAAGGCCTCAGTCAGATAACCAAAAGCTCCAACTGCGGGTCATTGTTTGACTAAGACCAGCATCAGGAAACACTCGTCCTGCTTCCTGACAAACCTTATCTAACCTAACACATGACTTATAATCAAAGGATTCTAACCTGACAAGATTTCATAACCTAAAAAGAGTCAGTAAAATATGTTTAGTTTTCTTACCTGATCATGATAGAAAGATGTTCCTCCCATGATCTCTCTCCTTTGCTTTAAATCAGTATCGGTCGTATCTCTTGTAAGGGCAACAAATTCCACTTCTCTCTTAGTGAGTTGCAAATATAAGAGTGCTAAATATCTTCTAAGGGTACCAGGAGGACCAATCAGAAAAACATCTTGTCCTAGCTGATCTTTCTGAAGCAGCCATCGTATGTGCTTGAGGACAGACTGGGGAAGCTCTTCAGACACTGTATACACAAAAGTAATTAATAAATTTAAGCAAGTTTTCATAAACAATATTTCCCAAACTTTATCAGACGAAACTTCATCCAAAGACTTGAATAAAGAGTATAGCTTTTTATATCAAAAATTAACCTGAGAATAAAATATGACATGTATGAGGAATAAATGATCTTGGTTCAATTATCAGTTTGTTTATTTCAGAGAACAAAGTGAATATGACATAATTAGAGCTTACAGTATCCAACAGGTACAAGCTCTGGATGTTTGGGATTTCGTATCTGTTTAGTTACTCCTCCAACAGTAACCACAGAGGAGTCTGTAACAATACAATTAAAACAAAGATTAAATTAAATGCTATGCAAAATACATGAGTATAATACAAAATATTGGAAATTTAAGTAGACATGAGACTAACTACAGTGGACCTCCGGTTTTCGGCCAGTGCAGAAATCATACAATTCGGATTTCAAGCACTTTTTCGGCAAAATTTCCCCCCGGGTTTCATACATCTGCTCGGAAATCGTCGGTATCAGACGCGTCAGCCTGAGCCACTCATACGTTCATGACTCACTCTTGGGCATATTAAATGTCTTATTTTACATTAATATAGACATTTTCATTAATCCATCTATGATATTTTCTTCAAAATTATGTAAGAAACACGTTACATAGTGTAGACAGCCTGTACTGTCTGCACAGACAGCCTGTACTGTCTGCACAGACAGCCTATGCTGTCTGCCAGCTGAGTTCATATTTTGCACCATGCTGGTGCTGCCACCTATAAGCTTACCACTTCAGTATGCCCACCCCTGCCTCTGCCTCACTCACTCAGCAGCCTAGACTCAGACAACAGGTCCTACTCTCCTCTCCCTCGCTGGGCATGGCCCTTCCGGGCCATAGGCACTTAACACACTGCCTATGTACCCCACAACATTGTAAAAAAAGTAAGAAGCCTCCGAAGCCTTTATCATTACTCCCCGCTACCAAGAATCATCAATAAACTCATTCAACATTGGTGGAAGCAGTGGTCGCAGTGGAGAGAGGAAGGAAGAGGAATGAAAATTGTCATCACTTCATCACCCTACACAAGAAGTATCCATCTCTCAACGAGTTATCCTGATGTCGTGTCTGCATGTTTAAGCATCCAGACACAGGTACAAGCAGGATTTAGCCAAAATTTACCGATGTCACATCGAGTGTTCCAGTAATTATTTCAGTATTGTCGAGAAGCTTGAGAGAAGATATATGTCATGTGTTAATTAATTCCTCTCAGTCAGTGTTCTTACATGTTTGTGTATAGCTTAGTGTCGATTTTTGCACAGAAAAGTGTAATTTGCTAGTGTAAGCCATGTAGTACCACATGTGCAGTGCATGTGTGCAGTTTTCCGTGTGTCCTGTGTGGTCCTGAGCCCAGACCACTGTGTACCACCATTGTGTTACTTGTCACCCGGTGTGACCCCCGCATTTGACAGCTGATATTAGTCAGCCCCGAGCATCTGAGCCTCTTGTACAGAAAGCTCTTATTGTTCGCTGCTCGTGATGCCCTACAGAATCTTACCTACTACGATTCCCATCGAGATTTGTTTCACTTCACCTCCAGACCATCAGAGTGCAGTTATATGTAGAGCAACAAGTCTGGGGACGCTTAGACTAACCTCTGCTATAACTCCAACTGCCGAGAGAATGATACTTGTCAAGCCGCAGTTAGCCCTGTCGGCAGGCACTGTGTCAACCTCGTGTCAAGCTTCAGTGAGCAGCCTGCATAAAGATGATGTCACTTTGACTGCTAGCCCGCTCACTGCAGTATGGTGTATGCTGTTACGACTCCCAGATGTTTTGCCGAGTCGTCTCTGCCATGACTCACTCCACGCTCGCCGGCAGTGACAGCCCAGCAACAGTACCAGTCGAGAAATGTCCTCCTGAGTCGCTTGCCAGAAGAAGTCCTGCCCAGTTGCCGAGTACTGACGACGCCTCACTCGAGGGCACCAGCAGGTCATGCCCCAGGTTGAGTGAAACACTGCAGCGACTCCTACGATGACTGCTTCACCGTTCCAGAGGAGATCATACCATTACATCACAGCTCAGTCGCAGCGATGTCTCCTGTGTTGCAGTATCTGTCCAGACACAGGAAGGCGTGCAGTGATGTCCCTCGACGCTCACTGCCTATGACCACGATGTTTAGCACACCCCACCTGTTTTTTTCTTCCCTCTCTGTAGGAAATTTTTTTTTCATGTCTATATGTACACCTCCTATCCGACTTACGACCTGCTCGAGACTTATGTCCACCCGACTTACTACCGGACTTTCGACCATACATCTGGCAGCAGGGCTGGGCCGGCTGATGCATACCGCTGTACAATATTTGACCGCTACTCCCGGCAACGCGCCATGCAGGCAGCATCACTTTGAGTTACCCTGCCCTATCAGCAGCATGGCCCCTAAGAGGAAGTCTGAATCTTGCACTGGAGATTGTGGCAAGAAGGCAAGAAAGGCTCTTGCTCTTGACCAGAAGATCAAAGTAATTAAGCAGTATGAGGATGGAAAAAACATCAACAGCATTTCTCAGGATCTTCACCTCTCCCACTCCACTGTGTCGACAATACTTAAGGATAAAGAGCGCATCAAAGAAGCAGTGAAATCTTCGGCCCCTATAACATCAACAATTATCACAAAGAAACATGAAGGCACAATTGCCGAGATGGAAAAACTGCTCAGTGTTTGGTAAGAAGATTATCGGCAGAAAAAAGTGAATGTGATGCTTTCTGAAGTGCAAAGAAAAGCAAAAAGTTTGTTTAACATGTTGAAGCAACGTGCTGGTGAGGGGTATAATCAAGAATTTATTGCAAGTGATTGGTGGTTTAGGAGATTTCATCAGCGATACCAAATTCATTATGTGGTAGCGAAAGGTGAGGCAGCTACTTGTGACGAAGAAGGAGCAAAAAACTTTGTTGCTCAGTTAGACAATTTAATAAAAGAAGAAGGGTATTTACCAGAACAAATATTTAATGTTGATGAAACTGGCCTGTACTGAAAAAAAATGCCTAAAGGAACATATATATCTAAGAAAGTGAAGTGTGCGCCAGGGCATAAGGTTATGAAGCAAAGGGTTTCACTGCTGCTTGGGGGAAATACTGCTGATTTCAAATTAAAACCCTTCTTAGTTTACATGGTCAAGAACCCCCGTGCTCTCAAAAATGTAAACAAACATACGCTCCCTGTGCACTATTGATACAATCGTAAGGCATGGATGACATTGGCCTTATTCGAGGATTGGTTTTTAAACTGTTTCATCCCAGCTGCACGCCAGTATTGCCAGGAAAAAGGAGTACCTTTCAAAATTCTTTTAGTTTTAGACAATGCGCCTTCCCACCCTCCTCACTTGGACGATCTAGACCCTAATGTACGAGTGGTGTTTATGCCTCCCAACACCACCCCACTCATACAACCCATGGATCAGGGGGTTATTGCAACATTTAAAGCATACTATCTGCGCATATGTTTTGAACAAGCTATCCAGGCCATTGATTCAGACCCAGAACTAACTCTAAGAGATTTTTGGAAGGAGTATAATATTTATCAGTGCATCAAAAACATAGCAAAAGCACGGAAGTTAGTCACAGCTAAGTGTATGAACGGAGTCTGGAAGCAGTGTAATGCCCAGTTTCTTCAAGATTTTCATGGCTACGACAGCGAAGAAGAGTTAAGTATGGTGAGAGGTGTGATTTTAAAATTGGCTAACAAACTTGAACTTGAATGTGATGTGGATGACATTGAAGAGCTTTTGACAGAAGAAGTTCAAGAGTTAACGAATGAGGAACTTCTGATAATAGAAGAAGACAGAAAAGCAGAACAAAGACAGAGAGAAGATGAACAAAAAGAAGAGGAGCCAGAAAGGAAGTTCTCGGTGAATGAATTATCACAGTGTTTTTCATTGATAAACCAAGGGCTACGAAAATTAGAGAATATGGACCCTAACATTGAAAGGTTTGTCAATACTGAGAGAATGGTACAGGATGCAATGCGTCCATACAGAGACATTTATGATGAAAAGAAAAAAAGGAAAATTCAAACAAATCTCTGTATGTTTATCAAGAAGAGTGCTCCCCCACCTCCTCCCACCCCTACCCCATCAGAGGAAGAAAGCATAGACAATCCCCAAGCACTAGTGGGCTGTAAATGTGTCCCAATCCTTATCTGTATTTCATTTACACTGTATTTCAATATTTTGTACTTTTCTGATCATGCAGTTTCATTTATACTGTATTTCAATATTTTGTACTTCTCTGTTCATTCAGTTTCTTACATTTGAAGTGAATTTGAACACTGGCTAGACAGGTACTGCAAGGAACTTGCAATCCCATTCATTGATAACTGAGACCTATTCTTTGGCAAATGTGATATGTATGCAAGGGATGGGGTTCATCTCTCTGGGGATGGAGTGGTTGCATTAGCCAATTCAATTGACAGGGTAATTGATGACTTGTCTAGGAATTTAAACTGATAGATTATAGAGGTATGGGTTTTTGTGGGAAACAATCAGGCTGCAGCATTAGGGTTAAAAACAGCAGTTATTACCGGGATACCTCAGGGATATGTTTAAAAGACAATATTCAAAATAAAGTTGCTAGTAATGGCAAATCAATTGATCAACAAACAAAGAGAGATAGTAGAGGGCAACAAGTGATTAGCTCCCTTAAGGTCTACTATACAAATAGTAGGAGTCTAAGAAATAAGATAGATGAGCTAAGATTACTTGCAAGTGTAGGTAATATAGATATTATTGGTATAACAGAGACTTGGTTCAACCTGAAAGATAGAGAAATGCCTTCTGAATGCAACATACAGGGTTATAAACTATTCCACACTGATTGGATCAACAGGAAGGGTGGTGGTGTGGCGATGTATGTCAGAGAAAATTTAAATTGTTGTCTTAGGCATGATATAAGATTAGAAACATCGAACACAGAATCTGTTTGGCTACAGTTTCTCCAGGGACGTGACAAATTAATTTTGGGTGTGATTTATAGGCCCCCAAACCTTGATAGGGAGGGCAGTAAGCTGTTATGAGACGAAATTCATAAGGCATCTAGATATGAAAATGTTGTTATAATGGGAGATTTTAACTTTAGACAAATTGATTGAAACAATATGACAGGAAACCTTGAGCCTAGTAACTTTCTTGATACGGTTCAGGATTGCTTTTTAGAGCAGGTTGTGACAGGACCAACTAGAGGAAACAATCTGCTTCACTTGGTTCTTGCCAACAAAGATTCACTAATTAATTATCTTGAGGTCAATGATGAGCTTGGGGAAAG